ATGAAAGAGAAACCTGTGTAATATCTGCAGAACTTACCTTCCACAGCAATTATTTTTAGTTAGCATATAGCTAAAAACTAACAATGGTTATATAATAGCAGCTGCAGTCTGGAGGGATAAGCTTTATGTTTTATATTCAATTAACATATGATCTGATTAGTGGATAATTGAAAAAAATAATCGATGATTAATCGACTATAAAAGCAATCGTTTGTGGCAGTCCTAGTCCTAAACCCAACCCCCAACACACCAACAGCATTTAAACCAAATGGGGACTCGACTTTTGTCCCCAAATGTAGGATTTTTGTCTTAAAATTGCCCCCAAAAGTCTGACGTGTCCAGATTAAAACCGGGTCAAAGCCTTCTGGTTAATTTAGCTGCAGAGCTCTCAGCAGCTTGGCTCATGCTGCTAACAGGTTTGGTCACGGGTCCCTGAGGAGCTGAACAAAACGTCTGCCTGAGGAGTTTCTGATTCTGTTCACCCTGCAGCTGCTGAACGTCACAGAACCAGAACTCTGGGCTTCTTTTGAAAGGATKGTTCATGAGTGAGACCGTGAAACAAGCTGCCAGGAAACAAAAATCACATGTCGGAGCTTTGCTTTGACTGCTGACAGCGAGAGCTTACAGACCCTGGAACAGTTCTGCTGGTTCTGCAGAACTCGGGTCAAGCCCAACAGATTTTATGCAGTAACTGCACACGTCTGACCCAGTTCCTCACAAACAGAACCGCAGCTCATGTCTTGTTGTCCGTGTGACACTTTGTGACGACATCACGATCTGTTGTGTCAGGAACTCGGGCCGGGATGGCAGAACCATCAGAACTTAAACCCACCTGAGCCCCAGAACCTCTGAGGACAGATTTAACTCAGAACCAGAACCAGTCAGGGAGCTGAGCTGTCAACCTAAAAAACAAAACAGACGTTTTATGATTTTAGAAACAATTCATGATACAGCCCGGTACCATGTACTCAGTATGAACTAAATACTTTACAAATACTCACCTGGTACTTCCCTGACATGTGCCAGTACACACCTGGTACTTATGGGAAATATGTATAATGTGTACAGGGTACATACGTGGTACTTACTTGGTATGTACCTGGCACATATGAGTTACTTTTAAAATAATTGCAGGATATTTAGCAAGTATACRGGGTACCTAAAATGGTACTTACCTTGTACTTATAGGATACTTATCTGATATTCATAGAGTACTTTTCTGGTACTTGCAACATGCTTCTTGAGTACTTACCTGGCATGTACATGGCACTTACTAGGTACTCATACTTACCTAGTGCTTACAGGGTACTTATAGGATACTTACCCTGTATTCATGGGGTACTCTTCTGGTACTTCCAACATGCTTTTTGAGTACTTACCTAGCATGTGGTACTTACTAGGTACTCAGAGTACTTACCTGGTGCTTCCAGGGTATTTACCTGGTATTCAAAGGGGTACTTATCAAGTACGTTCCTGGTACTTGCAGTGGTCTTCTTCAGTATATAGCTGGTATATTCCTGGTACTTACTAGGTACTAATAAGATACTTACGGTATGTATCATATACAAGATTATACTGATGTATTTTGTTTTCATAGCACCATGTGAAGGAGTGTCCTTGACAAGAGGACAGTAGTGTATTTGTAGTTCTATGAGCATTTGTACATCAAACTACCTTTAGAAGTTGAAGTATTGAGTATATTTACTATATATTGCAATAATTTACTCTGTATTTTGCCAGACTTTTGTAATCCTGGGGTCGTGATGATGGGGCCCTTGAATATTGTTGCCCAGGGTACAGCGAAGTATTAATCCAGCCCTGTACTTACCTGATGCTTTAAACGGTACTTCTTGAGAACCTAGCTGGTACTCACCTGGTATGTACCTGGTACTTACTAACATGCGGAGGACTTACCGAGTGCAAACCTAGAATTTACAACTTACTTATTTGTGTGTACCTGACACTTCCTGGTACTTACTGAGTACATGTTGGGGTATTTACAGKTTACTTACCTGGTATATACTCAGTTTGTAAGTACCAGATTCAAACCATGTGAGTACCCAGTGAGYATCAGGTTAAAACACCTGAATGAACAGAACCTGTGGTTCTGTTTTCAGCAGCGTTGATGAACTCTTGTAGCCTGTAAGGGTTGATTTTGTATCATTTTTTGTTTTTGTGTTTCTTCAGCTCATTAGAGGCTATCAGCTGAAGATCCAGCTGTAATTGTGTGTCTGCAGCTGAACCTCCATTCACTCTGACAGCTCTAATGAGACCTCGAGTGATTAAAAAGAGTTCTGACTGAAGGGACAGCTCAGCTGCAGTCGKTTTTTTTTAAATAATAAAACATTTGTGTTATTTTTAACCCATCCAGATCTGTTTTTTTATGCCACCTTTTTAAAACCCGTTGGCTCCGGTTCTGTTCGTCCAGCAACTATTTGMGAGTTTCCATCGACTTCCTGCAGTGCTTCAGGAGACTCTCCTGCTCTCCTGATGAGGACGATAGAAAAGTGAACCTGCAGTTTAAGTTCTCAGAGGTTATTCTGCTCAGATCGATCACTTCGGTGTGTGGGCTGCTGATGTTCTCAGGTTCAGAGGAAAGTTCAAAGATCAAACCACCTTCAGCTGCKAGAGAACTCTCTGCAGATTTGATTTGACAGATTAGTCTAGTAGCTCTTTTTCTCTGTCGGTTTATTGACAGTTTTCATGTTGGAACTTGTTTCTGTGATAAAATAAATCCTGTCACACATTCATGTTTCAGCTCTTCATGCAGCAGCTGACAGCTTTTATTCACCCTGACAGGCTCTAATCTGCCGCAGAGATCCAACAACACTTGTTTTTGTTTTTGCTTCCTTCTGGGTTTTGTTGTCGTCTCTTCAGATGTTTTCTCGGATCAGAACCGTGTTGTTAACCCCTCAGAGAATCAGCAGCAGCTCTGTGGTCCTCTGACGGGCTCTTCAGAAGGTTCAGAACATTTTCAGGGTTTGATGCATTTTTTTATTTTTTATTTTTAGGTTCAGCTGATAGTATCCCACAAAAAACAATTCAATTTAAAATAAATCTAAAGAAATGGTGAATGCTGAGAGCTGAAAGACTGCTGAAAATGGCTTATTACAGCTAAAATGAGCAGAACATTGTCTTTAGCTTATATATATATATATGTATAAAGACAAATTAGAGGATACAAGAAAAACTAACCAAAATATCTAAACTCCAAAACATTCACTAAAATCTAAAAGTATCAAAATGCCAGCTAAAAGTATCAAATATCTAGCTAAAAGCAGCTAAAAGCTAAAGTAAGCAAAAGACAATCCTCACAGTAAAATTAGCAGAACTGTGGTGAAAACACTAAAAGAAAAAAAAGAAGCTAAGAGCTAAAAGTGGCAAACTGGTGGCTAAATGACTCAAAGACTACCTAGAAGCTAAAAGTAGCTAAAGGATATCTAAAAATATTAAAGAAACTGGAAGATCAAAGCTAACTAAACTTTCACCAAATTTCCCTCTGGGATCAATAAAGTACTTTTGAATTTGAATTAACTAAATTTCAAAATTATCAAATGTAGCTAAAAGCTAAAAATATCAAATGGCTACTTTTAAGTTAAAAGTAACTAAAAGTGGCAAATAGCTGTCCAAATGCAACAATTAGCAGAACAGTTGTTAAAATATTAAGGG